CGGCACTGAAACAACCAACACTTTCAGAGACTTTTAAAAGGAAAGAGAAACTACCCCAGAACAGTGAAAAGGCCAAAAAAATAACAACCAAGATAGCTGAATTCATCGCGTTGGATGACCAGCCGTTATCTGTTACCTTTTTTTTCCTCTTAATGCATTGCATAAAGATCGGATCGGGAAAAATCGGTATCGGCAGATTGTCAAAATCAAATGATCGGAATCGGATCGGGAGCAAAAAAAGGTGATCGGGACATCCCTAATAAAAATGCAATGATGGATTATCAGTAATCCTTTCAAAGTGACACAGACACATTGGATTAACCTATGGATTAACCTTCAGCTGCGTTTTTATCATTTTGATGCCATTGAACACGACTATTGATCAGAATAACAGCTAATTTGAGACGATTTCCCGTGAATGTTCCGTAATTCACGTGTTGTGACGTCTGTGTTTGCTTCCCCTGTCACGAGTTCTGATCGCTCAGTGATGATACTTATACCTGTAGAATCTGTGGAATCTCAGCTTTAATTTGATATCTTGTTTTTGCAGTTACGATAAGTAATAAGGGTATTTTTACCTTGAGTTCTGTGGTAAGTGTGTTAGCATTTTTTCGCTCAGGGCTCATTTAGACGCTTCTTGTGAGACTTGTGTTTTGTTTCGGTAAAAATGGTTTGTATTGTCAGTTAGCTGAGTTTCTTCCCGTTAAATGGGTATGACACATTAATAGGTTTTTAAATATTAAGAAGCCCTGAGACACAGTTTCGTGAAAAAACACCCCACTGCCCCCTGTACAGGGAGACAGCGTGGTGTCCAGAGGTCTTATCCCGTTTTCCCACTTCCTCTGAGGGGGGGGCATGAAAAAAGACCTGCACCAGCTTCATCCACGCTGGGCGTTGCTGTTATCACTTGCTCAGTGTCATTTCATTTGACCAAATGTCTTTACATATACATTTAATAGATTTTATTATTATCCACCTTTTTGTTTTATGTCCTTTTATTTAAAGGCCCTGACACACCAGGCAGTCACCAGAGAACTGCCGACACCGACATCGACTGTTGCATCGGCGAGTTCTCCTGCGTCTTGGCCATGTGTCGCACTGGAACACACCACAAAGACTTCAGCCGAGCACGTACGAACTGCGCATGCGTGAGTGGCAATAACTCTCCTTACCAGCAGGCGGCGGTAGTGTGTATTCGTCATTCAAAATAGGCAACAACTGGAAGACAGAGAAGAAGAACAGACTGATAAACAAACAACAAATAGCGTGTGCGTTCCATTTTCACTCTCGTCCATCGAAAACATGTTTTAGAATATAAAAATACATGAATGATGAAATTAGCACATAAAGTGCAGACATACTATAAAATCACAGTTAATAGACCTGCATCTGATGATCGCAGTGTTCTGGCGGGTGTGTAGTTTATCGAGTCAGCAATGTAGTAATGTATGTAATGTAATAATGGCCACTTCTTGCTAAATTTACATTTCCATGTGATGCTTTTATCCGAGGCGACTCACAATAGGTAAATGAACAGCAGTAGACAGTATCTCATTTACTTAGACACTGTACTTAAGGACAATGTTGAGGTACTTGAGACTAATCCTGCAACTTTATACTGACAAATAAACCGATGAGATGAAAAACCGGACTTGACCAAACAAATCACGGAGCTCTCAGCAGAGGACAGCCGGGGACGCTCCCGCCGATATCAGAGATGTCCCTGCTATGTGTGGGAGGTAAGAGAGGACATTTAAGGGCTATGTTTGATGTCTTTAAGTATCACTTGCTGGGGTTTAGCTGCTGTCCTGTGCCTTCTTAAATTGTTTGTTTACGTCCCTCACTTCCGTTTCGCTTCTGATTTGCTAGCTGAACAGCTGATCAGAGTGGTTTCTTGGCCCGATAGCTTGTGTCCGACAAATGGCCGATTCAACATGTTGAATCGGCCATGTGTCGACCGTGAAAGGCCAAATAAGGCGTGTCACGGCCGAGGGTTCGGGACACACCAAATTGACTTTGGGCGACAGGGCACGCTTTGTCGCCAGACAACCGAAGACGGCCGATATCGGCCTGGTGTGTCTGGGCCTTAAAACATTCTTTGAGACTTCATCTTCTGGTTCAAATTTCAATAAATGTAATTTGTATAATCACTATTTTGTCTTTATTCTACATGAAAATGTTAGAGATTCCATTCAAATCTGTTGATTATTCATACCTTCCTCAGGAATAGTATGTCGAGTTTTTAATGCTAAATGTATATCATTTTCTCACAGGATATAGAATGAGAAAACACAGTTTTTATCCATTGTGTATGAATGATTCAGCTCTTCAGACCAACATAGTAAGATGTGAGCATGTTGGATATGCTACCTAGGTCTGGTCTGTTTAATAAAGCATATCTGCCACTTTTATATTGTAGAATTTGTTAAATTAAAGCAGTCTTTAATTGTTTGTCCTAAACATAGGTACAGTATACAGTTTATATTGTGTATCACCTTTAGCTTGAAAATACATAGATGTGTTTTTTTTATCTATAAAATAAATAAATAGACAGACACTTTATCAATCCCAAATTGGGAAATTATTTTACAGCAGCAGTGTGTTCAGGTATTAAAATATTTAAAGTTGGAATAAAGTATAAACTAAACAACACAAGTATAATGCAGAGCAATCCATAAAATAAATCCGATATTTTCTGAGAAAGTGTTGCTTTATCTTTATGAAACTAAACTAATCCCATAGTTATGTAGACTGGAAGCACCTGCATAACTCGTTGAAGAGATATAAAAAAAGCGAGGACCACTGCAAGTCCATGAGCAGGTTTGAATGCTACAACCTATTGTTGCTGTTACCTAGTGCAATAAAAGAGTTACATAACGATTGTAAATAACCCAATTTGTGTTCTGTGAAACTGAAAAGGATATTACATTGTTTGTGTTACTTTCGTTGCAGTTGTAAATGTGTCTTAAATGTAATTTAGGTTAACTTCCTGTGTTATTTAGATGCATTTATTTTGAAGGCGAGTTTATGCTGTTGACAGGAAGTTGTTGTTGCTGTGGAAACAACGTGACGGAGAAAAGGAGCGGAGATTAATCTATATAAAGACGGAGAAAGTAAAGGACAAAGTTTATGTTTAAGTTTAGCACCCCCCGAAGAGGCACAAGGTTGGTATTAACTATAATATAAAAATGTGGGTTTTGTCCTAATTCGTTTATATGCTGTTTTGTAGCTTTGCTGTCTGTTTACAGTTAACTTTTGGTAGTATGCTAAAGTGATTCTAGGATGGAGCCTACATTTATTTGTTATTTGTGTGTCTTTATAGCTCTTATGCTGATATTGGAGATTTCAATAAATTCATATCATCAGTCAAGTCTTCGACCATTATTCGGAGGGAAATGCTACAACGATGCTTGGCAATGGGCATTATTATTATTATTAGCGGCCAGGCCTACCTTAAAGTCATTTTTCCCCCTGGAAAAAGCTGGCCCACCCTATTTTATACAGGCCCGCCCTAAAGTAAATTTCTGCCTACGCTACTGATCTGACTTATTGTCAAATCAAGGGCTTATTTAAGGTTCTGCTCCTAGTACTAGACTCCTGGTACTAGGATGGGTTAAAAGCAGAGAACACATTTCACTGTGTGTGCTGTGTGCTCTGCATGTGTGACCATTAAAAAGAGGGGTTCATCCCTCCCAATGCTATCTATCTAATTATATTCTATTCTATCTAAAAATTGCATTGAAGAGGGATTCTGCATGTCACAATATATGAAGCCTGAATCTACGGAACGACCGTCAAGTTCACTTAATGTATGCTCCGATGCATCTGCTGTGGGTTACACAAGAACACTTATGCGGGTGAGGTTTATCCAATGCGCGACAGCCTGCAAAAAAAAACACAACTCATTCCTGCTTCTCAACTTTTGTATTCGATGCTTTAAAACATTTATTTTAGATATGAAAATAATGACATCGCCTTAAGAGTAGACAGACACACCCTTGTTCTAAGGAATGAAGTCACCCCTGTGTGAGGACTTGAACTCAAATGTTTGCCATGGTATGTTCCCAGAGGGTAAAGCACTGAGGCTACAAGGCTTACTCTAAATTCATGAGAATGAAGATGAACCATTTTAGGGTTAAAAATTATCTTGTGTGAAGTTGTGAAAATGACCACAGATGCAGAAGTATGTGGAAAAAGATTTTATTGTCAAAGCTTGTGTGATTGGAAGAACATAATTAACCGATTTCATTTAAAATGTCCAAATACAGAAACCACTACATGTGTCAAAACGCAAAAGTGGCATAAAGAGAAGCATTTTCCCTTTAGTGTCAAATTAATCCAGCATAGTTGATGAAAAAAATAAAATATTAAAGTGGACAGGTAGAACACTTAAGAAATGCTTTCACTCTGTGAAGCTCCTTGATGTTTAAGACAAACGCAGGGTGTTTCTCAATGTCGAGGACGCTTGCTTGGTAGCACATGTCTTCCGAGTCACTTGCTTCAGAAGCGAGGCAAGAATCCTTCCTAGCCTCGGAAAACAAAGAATTGTGGAATAGGCTAACAGGTGTGCGTCATATGAGAGGCCCCGCCTTAAATGGAGCGCTATTTCCGCCAAAGATTTGGAAATTGGTCCGTGCGCAAAGCATTGTGGGGATTTTAAGACCGCAGAGTCTACACATGTGCAGCCTCGAAATTTCTCGCTACGAAGTACGCCGGGCTCGGTAGAATTATGTATGCAAGTATGCTGGACATTGGAACAGTCCTTCGGCGGCACGTAGTATGCTTGAAATAGTGGCTCTGGAGCAGCTTTCCTCGACATTGAGAAACACCCAGAGAGAATAAATAAAGTGGAATAAACAGAAGAACAGTTCTTTATAATAATAATCGCGGCACACTGCTCAAAATACAGATTCACTGCCCCCTGCAGGTGATAAGATAAGGTCAGTCATTTTAACATAGGAATCTGTCTAAAGTGCATCAAAGGACACAACAAAAGGAAATCAAATTAACTTGATTTAAGCCGCAGGAGCTTTAGGCCCAGAAAACCTAAATTTTGACATTCCTTTAAAAGCAAAACAATTTGGATCTCCAAAGAATAACAGGTGGAAACACTTACAAAAGATTGATTTTTGCAACAATTCATTAACATGCAAGTCATCTTCTTCTTAATCCAAACAAGTTTTCGCAGGCCACGTTGTTATCCTTGACACTGCAGACAACATTCCACCGTCACACTGCTCTTCACCCAGATTTTCAAGCAGAAAAAATGAGGCAAAAGCGAAGCAGGGAGTAGACGGGAGCGGGAGGAGTGTCTCCGTTGCACTGACCTTTTCATTCATTCTGGAGACACGGTGTGCCAGGCAAGCAGAGCCCTTCTGGTTTTACAGAGAAGTGAGAGAATGACTATGTACAGGCCAGGTTTCTCTTTTGTCAGTCTTTACATTATGTACAATGAATACTCGGACCGATGGTGAGCGTCCCTCAATTAGCGTCCCTCAACTAGCACGAGCAACTCGCGTCTCCGAGCTTAGGTAGTTCAGCATCGTCTGGATGAGCTCTGGGAGATCGTAATCGTGCTTCCAGCCCCACTCCTTCCGTGCATTGGAGTCATCGAAGTTCATCGGCCAACTGTCAGCTGGAAAGAAGAGATGAACGAGATATAGAATTAAACTTCAGAAAGAAAACATGCTAGTAACAATTTAAGGCATTGTAGTTCCAATTCACAGCATGCATTGGTTTAACTGAGTAGTTGCCATTGACCACTTTACTTTAGATAATTATGTTGATCTAAAGTAAAACAAATACCAAATTAGGATTAATAAAGTACATTTTATCTTGTGACACTTTTGAAAAGGACAAAAGAACAACATTCCTCTTGCATAGGAAATGTATAATTGATAAGAAATAAAACACACCCTTTCTCAGTTTTATACATGTAGGTTTTGCTTATAAAGCTAATTCCTCTAAATGACCAGTAGCTTATGGGGGCTAACTTTATCTAACTTAACAAAAGATACTGCTGTGTAACCAACATAACTTAAACACTTTGAGCACCATTTGTGCATCAAAAGGTGACGTACCGATGGCCTGCCGTACGTGGTCCACGTCGTACGTGACCTCCAGCTCGGGCATCTGCTTCTGCAGCTCCTGGGCCAGTTCCTCGGGGGTGAAGCTCATGGCGTTGATGTTGTAGGTCCTCATGCTCAGCGTGTCAGCGGGGGCCTCCATCACCTCCAGCGTGGCGCGCAGGCAGTCGTCGATGTACATCATGGGCAGCCGCGTGTCGGGTCTCAGGTTGCACTCGAATTTCCCACTTTTGATCGCATCGTGGAAAATCTGGACGGCATAGTCTGGATAGAGACAGAAATTAAAACAAATATATATAAATTTTAAAAAGCAGTCCAGGGGTATTTGAAATAAATTAAGAGGCTGTGGTTATGAAAGTGAAAGTATGGCGATAGTGCATCAAGTTATCAGCTGGTCTAAAAATAGAACCTGCGGCGTTAACTTTCAGGAATACATCGGTTACATAACATACTTGTGACATGACAGGAATAGACGTCCATTAAAATGGAAACCATGTTACATGTTCTGGATTTCATCTCTCTCACCTGTTGTCCCACCCCCTGGCATGGAGTCGGCAGAAATGATCCCTGGGTAGCGGAGACAGCGGAAGTCCATGCCGTAACGGTGGTGGTAATACTGTCAAAAAAAAACATTGATTACAAATGGGAAAAAAAACAATATGCTACATTACATGTTACAATTTGCAAAGTTAAATATTGGTAGAGAAGAATAATGCGATGTCAAATCCCTAATATCTAGGCACCTGTTTGGTGTGTAAGGGGTTTTACTTCGAAAGAAATAAAGAAATCTGAATTCTCACCTCTCCCATCAGCTCTGCGTGCACTTTGGAGACCCCATAGATGGTGCGAGGTCTCTGCACACACAGATCTGGAGTGGGGTTTCTGGGAGAAGTGGGACCGAAGGCTCCAATGGTGCTGGGGACAAACAGACGCAGGCCGTGCTCCGCTGCGATATCCAGGATGTTGTGAAGCCCTAACAACGAGAAAAATAAAGATAAGGACAACACACTTCACCTACACTTCGACTCAGTGTTTTGACCCAAGAATATGACGTCCTTACCGGTGATGTTTACGGAGCGCGCCAGGGCCACGTTGGCCTCTCCAACAGCACTGAGCAGGGCGCTGTAGTGAACCAGCCAAGTGATGCGGTTGTTCACCACAATTTCCCGCAGGTTCTTGTAGTCAAGGATGTCTGAGTAGATGAAGGGGCCTGAAAACGAAAGAAATTGTTTTATAAATCAAACGTTCACTTTAAGTTGTATAAAGTATCTGAAATCTGCCCTTCCCTTGGAAGATTTTTTAAACGTATAATATTTTTTCATGTATTTTTACTGCACTTTGAGCTTGCATCCAAAGTGCTCTATAAATTAGGCTTATTACTATTCATCATTATTTAGTTTTATTATTAAAACCTGTGACATTTTGTCCAGTTACACTGTTCTAATACTCAAAGTCCAAACGTTCATTACGTCTTTGGACAGCTCATTACTTGACTAGGGCGAGGTCACCATGCGTCACATATTGACTATTAAAAAACTAAATGTTTCAGGAACTGTGACTTCCTCGTGTGAAGGAATGACAGAAAAATCAATAACTGGACAGGCCTTATTTGCAAACACTGTTTGTTGTTTTTCTGGCAATAAAGTTTAGTACGTTTGTAAAACATTAACACATTTTTAAAGGTTTAATCTGGTATTAAACAACACTTACCAGAGGAACAGTTTGATGTGATAAAAGATTGTCTCGACAATCAAGAGCGTGGATGCTCCCATTTGCCAAATTAACTAAATGTCATCAGAAACATCCAGGCTTTTCAAAAGTAAAAATAAAAAATAATAAAAAAGGTGCTTTGCGCAGACCAGATCTGATCAATTTCAGGAAGCAGAATACAGTACAGTATAAACACAAGTCGACTCACCACTATGGAAAACGCTGCTGGGAGGTTTCCTGATGTCGGACAGGATGACGTTATTCTTTCCAAACTTCTTTCTGTGAATCGGGGAGTCAATGTTACTCAATTGGAAAAAACACCTTGAAAAAGAGATCTATGATCTCAATGGGACCAATCTGGTTAAATAAAGGTTTGAAATTAAATTAAATGAAATTGGAAAATGTACCAGAAACTCCCACATGGTGGGAAGTATTTGACAATAAGAGGTTTTCTGGCAAACCATGTGATTTTCGATAGTTACTGAGAAATCTTACCTCAACATTTTGGCAAGCCCCACCCCGAGCTGTCCCAGACCACCTGATGGAGAGAGACAGAACGGCGTCATTGGGGGAAAACACAAACATCAGCAGCTAATAATCATCAGTGTTTGTTTCCATGGAGACTAAGGTAACTTAAAGAGTGGGCCTTGAGAAAAAAAAGGTCAGAGTACTTAATCTGTTAAGCCCCAAAGACCCCGTCGGCGGGTCCTTTTTTTCCCTACAAATTAAATAAAAAAAAAAGAATATTTTTATTTTATTTAATCTTTTAATTTTAATTTTTTTTATTTGGATGGAATGAATACCTATGGTGATAATTCAATGTAATACACCATTTTTATAGACTGGTACCTGAAAAAGGTCAAATGGCACTGATGGAACCAGATGTACCCAAATGTGCCCAAAGCCTATTCCGCCTGGACTTTATTTTGCTAAACCTCTCCAAAAAGGTCAAATTTCAATTGTTTTGACTCAATCTTGATACAGGGTACTTATTATATGTTATACTTTGGATTCCTAAATCTTTTAGTCTACCATCCCATCATTCAAGGGTGGTTTTCACTATAAGTAATGTTTTTTCTTTAGGCGGAGGTAAGAATTTACCTTTTTTTGCTATGTTCCTTCTGAATTTACTCTGACTGAGAAAAATCGATATTGATTCTGACACTTCTACATCCAACTCACAGATGTAACCTTGCTTTGATAAAAGAAATTATTCATATAACCCTTTTAGAAGTTAAGTTGTAGTCATTTGTTTTGGGCATGTCATTTTCGAGCCTGAAACCTGAACAACAGGCTCGGGGCTTAACAGGTTAACGCCTACGTGCTTGTTTTTTTTACTGTCATTTTTGTAATGCTTTCACTGCCAAACTTGTTACAAATCCTGCTGGTCTTGAATAATCTTATTAACTACCATGCGTGTACAAAAAGCTGTTGTACCTCTTTAAAAAGGAGTGTGGTACACTATGTTTAACAGGTGTGTAATATACCAAATAAACAGATGCTGCATACCTGTGATGAGCACCTTGGGGTGGTCTGTTTCTGAGAAGGACACAGAGTGGAAGCTGGCATCAGACGTCACCTGGCGAGGGGAGAAGCTGATGTTGCGCACAGCCACCGTGAGGGGCTGGCAGCTGCACCCCGGGGTGCCGAGCAGGGTCTGCTTGGCCACCTTACTGAGGGCTCTGAGGACAGGCATCCTGGTACCTGTGAAGGAAGGAAAAGTGTGTTTACGCTTTAGTGTGAAATGTGTCAAATTCCAGAGACACAAGTGAAATTCTGTCATGAGTTTTTTTTTTGAGCTGTGAAATTCTCCTTTTCCCACCCACAAATATTTTAATAGCACATTTGTTTGGCCAAGGCATGAAGTTCTATGTCAAGACATTTTGGGGCTTCTCTCCAGACCTCAGGCGCCAAGAGACAGACTGGTTACAGAAATGGCATTGAGGGAGTCGATTTAGTTTACTTAATTTCAAATGCATCTGCGGCAAAATCGTAACAATGGAACATTGAAAACGGTCTGAGAGTTTGTAAAGCAGCAGGGAAGACACGTGAGCTTCAGTTAAATGCAAATGACATGCCATTTCCAGTGGCGCAAAGGAGCTCTCGAGCGCATAGCAACCCAAACACCAAACATTTTGTTTCACTCAGTTAACTTGTACACAACTTTGAGACACCCGTAGACATATATTCATATATTTTTTAGAAACGAACACGACTACAGAAAAGATGGAGAACTGAGTCAGCACATTGAAAGCAGTTCTCACAGTGCAGCCTCATAACTTTTAACGAGCAGAAGGTTTAATCGCATTATAAAGAAGCCTTCCTTTGTTTATCACCGAGCTGTGCATTATTTTCATAATTGTACTTACCGAGAGTGCAGCGATATTTCAAAAAAAGGAAAGAAGAGAGTAACATAATCTCTTAAAATAATATATCATGTAATAGATGAAAGGCTATTATTATGACACGGCAGATAAATGAACAGCCAAGGTTTCTGTTTTATATTCTTTGCGCAAAAAACGCGCTCTTTTTCCATCTTGGATGAAGTATTTCCCTTGCCGCATCACCAAAGGCCAATTCACTGCATTACAACCCCGGTTTTACGCCCAGGCAGGCGGGTTGTGTAATGTTCTTCGTCATGGTGGATCTATATGCAATGTATGTCTTTAATGTGTTCCATAATGAAAGGGTTAATTACCGTGGCTGCTTTTCCACGTGGGCAATGGTGGTGATGAACAGTCAAAGGAGCTTGAAGATCATTTTCAATTAGTACAAATAACCAGCAAGCTCTCGCTTTCTTACTAGGCTATATGTGAAGTATCTTTTAAAATGTGTATCGGTGAGACACAGAGTGAGCCACTCGGACAGATGAAACCTGGTCATTGCACCGGAGTCAGTCTGTCTCTTGGCTCAATTACACCAGTTTTACACTAGTAGTCTGAAATGAAGACATTATAAAGCATATAGAAGAAGTACGTACAGGAAACACGTGGTCGGGGTGTTGAAATTAAATAAAGGATTGTATATATTCTTAAACATGTTAAAATGTCTTAAAACAGTCTCTAAACTAGAGCGGAGTAATACAAACGAGGGGCGGCGGACTAATACACCGAATGTAAGTTTACTCACCGGTTATTCTTCTTCAGGACTATAAGCGGTAAAAACTCCTGAGTCGCTTTGTGAGGATGAGATGCTGTTTTCTCCTCTGAGCTGCAGTGCTCTGACGTGATGCTCGTTGCATCAGCTTCACTATATATCAGCGGCCATCTGGTTTCAGTGGGAGCCGGCTTTCTCTCGGATTGGCGGAGGCTCGGAGGTGCGGTCCTCCCTCACAAACCACACCCACTGACGGTCCACTGACGGTCCCTCCGTTGACGATCCTGTCAGTGAGTTCATTCACAGAGCACCGTTTACGCGATTCTTGGTGTCGACGACCAGGGTTCGAGTTGTGTGGGAGCCAATGGGAGCTGAGCTCCCATAAGGAGGGGTCTGAGCTCCCACGGACACAGTGAAATCATACATCTGTGGGGGTCGCTAATACATTACCAACAACCATTATTTTAATCACAACTAATGCATGTCATGTGTCAATGTAATGAGTATTATTTACGTTAACCAGGTAAATAGGCTAAAAGAAAAACATGTTTTCCAAAAGAACTACGCATCGTATTCTCTCTTGAATGACAATATGCCTGCCCTGCACCTCCAAGGTGCGCAATACAGGTTCAACTGTTGAACCTTATCATATTTAAGTTTGTAGCAAGTAGAGGGCTGTTGGTGTGTGTGTGTGTGTGTGTGTGTGTGTGTGTGTGTGTGTGTGTGTGTGTGTGTGTGTGTGTGTGTGTGTGTGTGTGTGTGTGTGTGCGTGTGTGTGTGTGTGTGTGTGTGCGTGTGCGTTAGTTTTAAAGACCCCCATGGAGCTCAGTTTATAACTCGAACCCTGGTGTAGACTGGTCAGAAATGTCACATTTAGAGGATTTAAAAATGTTGAAGAGGTGCAAGGCGAAAGAGTAGGCTATATGCTATATTATAAAAACGGCAATTTGTTGTTCTTTAAATTAGGTTTTGCTTTCAATTGTTTTTTTTTATTGTTAAAAATGTCAAGATATAGTTTTGTTGATTAGTTTGTTTGACAAGGACAGTGCATTTTAATAACATTTCTGAACATTTGGCCAGAAAGGCCAGAGATGATCGTTTCTATCATGAGTTTCAGGGGAAAAGTGTGATTTCTCTGGGAAATAATTTATTTTCCAGAGAACAAAATATGTCTTTATCAGAAGCTTGTCCGGTTGTTATGAAAGACAAATCATTTAAAACCCACCTTTTTACTGTCAAAGAAGGCTACAAGAAAACCAGCAAATATTCACATTTAACAACCTGATGCAGATAATTGTGTTTTGTATTTCTTTTTTTGATTGTCCAATTAATTCATTGACAATAGTATGTATGTGTGTCCAAATGTAGGTAAAACTATATATAAAGTTCAAGTTTACCCTATTTTCCACTTGGAGCTGGACATTAATTCTACTCCCAAATGGCAATATATTAAACTTGCATAAATGAAGATTATGAAACATTGTACAATTGCTTTAACAAAGCCTGAGATATAACTTTGGGATTTTGAATTTAAAGTGAAGTTTTATTGGTTTGAAAGTGATTATTATACCTCTATGTCCGCTGTAGTCTAAGCAAAACCTCACTATAGTACAGCAGAAGCGCTGCATGTCCTTGAAATCAGCAGGACGGTAACAGCAAGTAGGACAAAATGAGTTCACATGTCGACGTCTATAGTCAATTATGTTAAATAAACATAGCTGCAATACACTTAAAGCTAAACTCTTTTATTTTAACAGAATCATCAATATTCATGTTTATCAGAGGAAAGATATGATGTGCACACAGTCTGTCTGACATTGACGTTTGTTTGCAGTAGATAGGAGAGGGCCAAATTGTTGACAACATGTCTGAGCAGGGCGAGTAAAGGATGGCTTTAAATCTGTGCTCGCCTGTGAGTGGTCGACGAGTGCACACCCCCACGCCTGTAATCACTGAGCGGGAAAACAAGTCAATATGTAAACTGATATACTGTTGCTAAAAAAAAAACAGGTTTTCTTCAAATAAGAATAAGATTACTTCTATTTTCAAAAATCACTGATTAAGAAAAACTGATAACTGGGAGATGACACCTTTTTTTCTACTGTAGTGTAATAATAAACCATTGTCTAACCCTGGCTGAGAACATCTGGTAGAGTGAGAGTACATACTGTCGTCCTTTAAATTAGTGGGAAACAAACCCAAGGCCACATCAATAAGGAGAAGAGTGATGGTTGTACGTAAGCACTGTAAGCACTGTAAACACTGGCGGCCATCACATGCCTCCGTCAGTCAGCTGATCCGGGGCTATTTATTCCCCAGGCACAGCGATGGCAACATATTTTGTGAGGGGGTGGGTTGCCGTTTACTAATCTTTGGACGAGCCACAAGGGGAAAGTGACCTGCCAATACATTGGAACTGGCTACATGTCACTAAGCAGGGGGATAGAATGAGACATTTAATAGATATTTTATGTAAAAATGCTGTAGTGTTTGGTATTTGGCCAATAAAACGTTATTTAGTCACCATATAGAGTTGTAATGATTAAGGTATATCTAAGTTCAATTGCTGCTAAATGTTCCACTTGCTAACTAAGTACAAATATAGTAAAAATAGTTCAATATTAAAAGAATCAAACATGTTGTTGAGCTATAATGTTTAATGACTTGAAAACTTAAAAAAAACATTTAATCTTTTAAACAATAATAGTTTTACAAACAACTGATCAGCAGTAATACAATTACTTATTTTTTATTCTGATTTTGCAGTAAGGCATTGCACAAACACAGTAGAGTTTAGTTGCAAAGCTACAATCAATAAACAATAACATTATTCACATTGGCAAGCATAGGAAATGTGTAAAAGTGTAAATCTAACCATCAGCTTGACTTAATGGTTCCACTCATACACACCAAAGCAATGGAAGGCAAGGTGTTCTCTTTTTCGGGCAGAAGGAAAACATGCAGCTTTAAACAACGTTCCCTTTACAAAGCAGCTTAATGTAGTGGCTGGAATCGGTTGTGTTTAGTGTGAATATAAAATAATTCTTAAAGCAAAATAGATGAAATGTATGAAGATGAGATGACCACCAGCAGAGAAAAATATATATCTTACTGGCAAAACAAACACAGTTGGCCAAGGATGACCACTGTGGATTTGTAACATAAGAACTGCCATTTTTTGTATTTTTTTGTATTTAAAGTGCAGCAAAAAGCTTTCTTATTAGTCTAATGCTAAGGAGGCTACCTTCACCCATGGACAGCATTGAAAGACGAGCTGTAATGTAACTTTGCAGACACAAATTATTTGTTGAGAAAATGATCACTTGGATAAAGCCTTGATAAAGTCTGTGTCATCTGCTACAGTTTGAGTTTACATCATTTAGATATATTGGCATGTTTGTTTTTTTAAATGTGTTATAATAAAAATACATATACTTTCTAATGTTTTCAACTGGTGAGTACTGACAAGCTGACAACAAAAAGTATGCTCATTACAAGAAATATATTATATTTTCCTAATTATTGATGAGGCCTTTAACACACATGACATTAGTTATGAACTAAAAACAGCTGATATGCTTTTAGTTTGAGAATGTACTTGAAAGCAACAATTACAACATAACTTAAATAACCAAAATGTAGATTGGTCTTTAAAGTAATATATGAAATTAAAATAATATTCTAAACCTCCATCAGCTCTGTTAAGTCTTGCTTATATTAATTTGACCAACATGGCCAGCATCACTGTGACAACAAGACCTTTCAAACATATTTGACTAATATTACTCACACTGAGTTTGAAAAAATGCTAAATTTGTATAAGCTTGTGTTAAATAAGTCTTTCTCAATACCTCCAGCTGTGCTCCTCACTGGAATGTCACGTAATGACCATATAACTACACAAGATATTTTGGTCAGATCCTTATTAACATACAGTAGAGTAGGCGCTGACCCTTCCTACGCTTATTATATCATCTCATCGTGCAGCAGTCACATGCCGTCTTATAGCACCCTATATGTTGCCATAGTTACTCTGCAGTGCTTTAGTGGAATATACATTCAGCAGGATGTTTGGTGAAAACGAGTACCCTGTAGTAAATTAATGAACAACAACAATGCCCAGAAATTCCTAGGGAATGATCAGTTATTTTCTGCACACACAGCTGTGCACTAATTATTCAGTGAAGGTAGTTTCATTGTCATTAATCTTACTATGTTTTTAAATCATTTAGGTAATGAGATGCCAAAAAGGGAAAAAATATGCCTTTACAAATGTCCAAGACCTCAAGATAACTTCTACTTGCCTGACCAACGGATAATACATTTACAGTGATTCATGACATGGAAAAGCAGCAAATTCAAACAGCTTTCAATTATTTTTTGGATGATTGACTGATTGGTTTATAGACTAATTGTTTCAATCTATTTAAGGGGACTCTGAGATTATGTGATTTTTGTTTCTGTGTCTTACCCTCTCACTCCCGCTTAACTTAAATGACAATACATGGTTAAATTAGCATGAAATTGACGCTTTATGAATGTAATGCTTTAGGGCACTATTTCAGTCTATTCCGTTATGTAAGCTGGGTGACATAAGATTATTGCATGAGTGGAAAATCTTAATTTGTGTTTAAGGCATTTTTCATCTGTTAGGAAACCAAAATGTGCCATCATCAATCATGCACAAATTCTCCTAGATATAATGGTTTGACTTATATACTCTCAAACATGTGAAAATAATGTATAACTGGCCTGTTATCTGTTTAGTTATGTTTTCACATTTTCTACCTCGTTCTCCCTTCTCTCCCCTCCCTCCCTCTCTCCTCCTCTTTAAGGCGTCTGCAGCAGAGGGTCCTCCGTCTCCAGCTGGGCCAGCTGCCTGCGCAGGCTGTTCACTTTGTTCTGGAGCTCCTTGTTGTATTCAATGATATGAACCATCTCCTCATAGGCCTCGTCCAAACACTTGGAGGAGCGGTTCCAACGAAGAAACACTCCTGCGACAGAAGAGAGGAGAGCACAGTGAATTATCTATGAAGTATTTATAAAGTACAACATGTGTAACAAGGAAGTGGTGTCTCTTTTCCCTGTAATGCTCAAACAACACTGAGTCTACAGTTTTGCTAGCGGCTATTTGAGTGCTTTGAGTTAGATGGATACAGAACCATTTACCATCATAGTTTAGCATGATTGTCTCAAATTTTGTACTGGTGGATTAGATTCCAGATTAGTAGAAGTAGAATACACATATTATAAAATAAAATTGGGGCAGGGTACTGGAGCTCAATGTGTACATTTGTGGAACACACATTACTGAAACGATGAAACCATCCCTGTTTCTGAAATGCTAGGCAAAGACACGACAGTGAGCCAACATGGACGACACTGCTCGGCCTTTTTTTGTAAAAGTGATCAAACTTCAGTACACATCTAATCATAGCTCCAGTCCCTCTTTGTGTCAGCATGAAGAGCTACAGATATGGACGTCCATGGGGCCTTTTTGGTTGGCCCCTGAGTGTGCGTCACTCTCAAAGGCTCACATAAGCCGGGTGTCTGTTGAATTTCACGTGCTTGAGTTGTTCTCGTACTTCATATAGAATCAGGGGCTGAGGCTTTAAGCAGGAAGGGGGCCCCTCTAACAGGTTCGCCTGAACCTAGTAACCCCTCCTCTGTCACACACACCCCCCATCCACACTGCTTTTCTTTATGAATGGCGTCTGCTTTGAGCTGATGAGTCAGCAAATTCAAAATAGACTGCACTGGGACTTTTTGGAGTCAATTTAACTGAACCCACAATTATTGTAATCTACGTAATCCCTTTGAAGTTTCAAAGAAAAATGTATCATTAAGTTCACATTCTAAACTAAAGCTCCCTATAGGGACAGTTCAGCGAAATAAAAAAATAAAAATCGTATTTTCGTTTTACCTGTCGGGCTATTTATTCATCGAGACTGTTTTTGGTGTGAGTTGCCGATTGTTAGCTATACTTGAGACATCTCCATCCTTTAGGAACTTCCACTGTCCATCTTAAATATAGCAATTTAGAAAGCAATGATACTAACTTATTCAGACTTTTTTTAAATGTGTGTTGTGTGTAATGGATTCATTGTATATCCCAGAATTCATGACATGTTGGGAAAGCAGTGGATACTCAAGTCGACCATAAATCACTAGAAACAAATCTGAAATCTGTAATGAGTGTAGGATGAAAAAGCGGTGTGATATAATCTCATTCTCACTGTGTTTTTTATGGAGGTTAGTTTAAGGCTTAAGGGCACTAAGAGAGAAAAGAGCAGTATGCATACACTTCGCCAACGCAGAAGCATAATGAAACCTCACTGTTTCACTGCTGGCTCCATCATTTGGTGCATTGAAACACAACATTTATTTTAATTAAAAAGGTGGAAAAAGTATTTCGCATAATTGAAATCAAGTTAAGAGCATAAATCAAAAACCTGTCCCTCAAATAAAACTAAAACAAGTTGACATTGTTTATTTGTTTGAGGGACAAAATATAGAGGTGTGCCACAGAACTAAAATTAGCATGCACATGAATGCTCACTGCTAACTTGTAGTAAAATGCAACTGATCCCAAGTGCCAGTGAGGGAGGACACGTTCTGTGCGAACCTATAATAAGACAAACATGGCGGGCAAACATGTCAACGAGGTGCCTGCGAAGCTATCTGAGCAATGTCCAAAATGTTAAGGTGTCGAGAGCCAAACGAGAGGGAAAGTCATGTGAGCCAAAAGGCCACATGCACCTCTTCATGTGATAGTTCAGGAGGCAAGGTGGATGTTCACTGCTGGAAGGTTAAAAACAGCTCGCACAGTATTTCAGACTAAAAACCAAACATATACTTATTTTATTATACCTGTGTGCTGAACAATATTAAATATTAATATCCACAGAGAAAAGTTTGTTATATTGATAGTTCATTCTCACAGAGGGAGTGGTGACAATGTCATGTTGTGTCGGAAGGTCATCTAATTGGATAAGTATTATAGAAAAAAACTAAGAAGAATTTAAAAGTTTGAAAACTCTAATATTAATAACAATAATTAGTTATTTGTTTACGTTTTTGAAAAGAAAATGAAAATCGGTAATACAGTAAAAAAGATTATGAATATTAAGTTTGTACAGCAGTGTGGATTTTGTTTGTGACTTTTGGATATGGTTGTATATGATAATGATATACAATAATATACCATATTGCCTACACTTTTTTTAAGCAACTAAGCTTGCTTTGGTTTTCACTTCTTCAAAAGTAGTGATTTTTGTATCTATTATTATTCTCTATGTGTATATAAATTACATAAATTGAAAACGTCCCAAATAAAAATAAACTTAAACACGGTTTATTGTTGCTTTGACAAATCTCCCATTAAACTAAAAATATGCGCACAGCTGTAATTATGTCTTCAACATAGGGCCCAAAGTAAATGGGACATGTATGTATGCTGCAGCATTTAACAGTGGTGAAACCATCGACTAGGGTGAAACCAATAGCTCTCCCTTGTGGTGGGATTACAGAAGGCCTGCCTGAGGAAAATCATGGATGAGACTAAGGAGAATTTAGGGCAGATTATCTGTAGTTTTTCCCAGCTGTATTCACACTAACTGTAACATTTTTTAAGATCTGTGATATATTGGGGTATCTGTCTCCTACCTTCCCACAGCAGCAGGCTCTGGGGGGCCACAGAGGGCCAGATGACCAGGCTGTTGGCCTCGTAGAGCGGGTTGGTCAGACGCTCCAGCTCCTGGGGCCGGTTCACCCAGGACCAGAGGGACACGGTCTTCTCAGGCAGAGACAGTTTGGCTCTATGGAAAGGATGAGAGGATGTTAGGTGGTTGCAACAGATTGTAAAAACTGGGCTTGAAATCTGTACAATTACATATTCCTCGATGAAAAAGTAAAACATCTTGAAAGGAACAAGACATTACAAGGAACAAAAGTCACATAATCCACAACTGTGTAGCTGCTTAGAGATCCATAATATGGAATAAAGGCTACATAAAATATTTGATGCTTTGTTACATGAAATTAAGTGAAACCACACTTTACAAACATACTGCAAAAGTTTTATGGACACTCTATTTATACATTTTCAGGTCTAGCATTAAATAAGGCATGTGTACCTGGCAAAAGAAAATCAATAAGCTAATGGCCGACGTAAGCTGGTGGAGCAACCTCACCAGACTTCAGACTCACCTCTCAGCTGTGCTGTTGCCCAGGAAGGTGCCGAACTGAGAGGCATAAGAGTGTTCGAACACCAGCACCAGGAAGCTCTCGCTGAATTCAAATGAGCACGGAAACTGGCGCAGGATCTGCCACACGCAGTCCAGGAAGAGCAGGAACACCGGAGCCTCTTGGCGAGGCTTGCTGTTGGAGTAGGCCGACTGAGCGCAGCGCTGCTGGAAGGGGTGACCCGCCTGGGACGGACAGTAAATAGGTTAGAGGTGAGGAGAAGGAGTGCAAAGACCACACCTATCATGATGATAAAATGCTTACTTGATTAAGGTGCAAATGTTTCTGTAACCCTATTTGTGCCCATATTGTTTATTGTATAACCGTTGTATGAATAACAATTTGTATATAAGAACGGTGTGTATTTTCAAGCATTTAAGATGACATTCCTTATAAATTGCAGGTCTCCCTTGAAAAAGAGATCGTTGATCTCAATGGGATTTTTCACCTGGTTAAATAAAGGCTACAAACAAACAAACAAATCTCAGTAATTTAAAGGTCACCTATTATGCAAAATCCACTTTTTCATGTCTTTTATACATAAACATGTGTCCCCTCTGTGTTAAGAGATTCTGGACGTTTCAGGAAAAAAGATTCGCTCACTTTTTGTCCTGATCCATTTATATAAAAACCTGTCGGAAAAGGAGCTGATCAGATTTTATGATGTCATAACGATTTTTGGCACTTATTTTCATCTAAAGTAAAAGACAGAGAATCAGCACTTTTGAAACAGGGCTGAAACTGTTTGGTATTTTGAGCCAAACACTTCAGAGACATGTTTGTATACATCTGAGACCTATAACATATTGATGAAAAACAGAATAATAGGGGACCTTTAATACATCATAAGGGTGATAAATATTTGGGCGGAGGTTCCATGAGTGTACCTGGAGCCACTCTCGCTCCACCAGGCTCTGGAAGCCTCTGATGGTCCTGCAGGCCGGATCCAGGATGATCTGAGCCAAAGAGGTGACCTGCAGGGTGGAGTCTGCCCCCTCTGTGCCGTGAACCAGCACTGACGCCCCTTCCCTGAGACACACACACACATGAGTGAGTCAGAGTGAGTCAGTATGAACAAAGAAGACTTATTGTGAAACATATTACTGGTGATGAAACATTGTTCCCTGACCTGTCGATGCACTGAGCAGCCAGGCAGGCGGTGGTGAGGATCTCCTTCACGTGGGTCTGCCAGTTGGAAGCCTCTAGTTTGCTCAGCCAGCGGTCCATACTGTGCGACTGGTCGTTACACGCCTCCACCAGCTTTATCAGGCTCTCCTGGAGGACGTTAGATCTGCAAATGAAACATTAGTCGCAAAGTTAAAATAAATGTCTAATGTTTATTTTTGAGGTTTGGTCTGAAGTGAAGGTCTTTCTAGTGACTCATTTTATCACTGTTGAAAAAAAGAAATATTGAATACCAAAAACGTTTGATTAAATAATATATATTTTAATATGAGTTTTCGAATGTTGAAAATCTTGATTTTTACAAATGGTCAGTATGCAATGGTGTTAGTACACACATTTATTTTTAGAAAAGTAGCTAAAAAATAAAATAAATTGTAGAAATATTGAGTTACAAGTTAAAGTCCGGCATGCAAAATCTACTTGAAGTAGAAGAACAAAAGCATTGGCATCCAAACAAACTAAGCAAGTAAAAGTACTCCTTATGGGTAATAGCTAATTCCATAATCATATTAAATGACTGGATTATGACTATTACTGCATTAATGCGTCTAACACAGCTGATGAGAGTGCAGCAAATTTTAATTACTTTATTTACCGCTGCTGAATATCTTAACTTTACTTATATATCATACTATGTTTATTAATAAAGTGTATTTTGTAAAAGCTAAAAATCTAAATCTGGCTTCCAAAGCATAGTGGAGTAGAAGTATTAAGTAGCATAATAGAAATGTAAATACTTACTTAAGTATCTCAAAGTTATACTTAAATAATCGTACTTTGTTACATCATCCCTGTCAGTATCACATTCCATTCAAACACAGTAGCTTGTAGAACTCTGCACATATTATTTATCACTTTATGGATCAAATGGAGCCCTTAATGGCCGCTCACCTTTCGACCGCCTTGTGAATCCTCCTCCACTGGGGGTAGTTCGCCTCGGACTCAATCCCTCCACCTCGAGCTTTGGCCTGCTGGGCCACGTTAATTGTGCGCGTATCAATGATGTAGCCACGTTTGCCCGGCCGCAGGGTGGCATTGATCAGCTTCTCGTCTTCCTTACACCTCCGCCCGTTGGTGCCTGTCAGAGGCTGCCCTGAACGCATCATCACCTGAAAGTAGATTCCGTACAATTAAAACTAAAACATGCCAAAATAAATCCACATTTTTCTTGCAGCAGAAATCATAAAAACGCAATTCCCCAGGTGCTCACCATGCCATTCTTTTTGTGGTAGTAGCTCAGTACTGGGAAACGGCCACCGTGACGGAAGCTAGCTACTTTCCTCAGCGTGTCGTCATCAATATCTTTGGGCACTGCCACCAGAGGAGGGTACGATGGACACACACTGAAGTCCTTGTTGACTTCACTCAGTCTCCACTCATCTGTCTGTTAAGAGGAATGGTGACAATGTAAAAGACAGATGTTGGGTACAAAAGATGACTTGAAGAATATTAAGTGTGAACATTTTTGCCACTAATCAAGTCCATACCATCGTCTCCAAATCTTTAAAGGCATCCAGGGGAAGAAATGATTTCCAGCCGTCTTCTATGACTTCAAACATGGGCCGATAGAAGAAAGGGTACATCAGGGAGAGTATATCAAGCGTGGACAGAGCCTAGAGAGGAGTAAAGGATGTGTTTCAGTTTAACACATTCAGAATTGACATTAAAAAAGGTAAAAGTTAATATTTTGCCGTTGTGTTTCTTTACCTCAATAGAGTTGGCAATGTTGAGACACTCCTCCATGCCAGGGATGTCCAGCTGGATCACCCTCAGGTCTTTGCATTTGACTATGATGGTTCCCAGAGACCCTACAAATCTAATAGGGAAGTCGGAAGATTTGATTAAAAACATGAACTTAAAAATGAAGCGAAAAAGGACAAAATGTCCCTGTATAAAACACTGTAGGGGTTGGGGTTCCTCCTGGAACTTAAATATATTCTGTACATAAAGATTTGTGTGCTTTAAGTAATACTCCAATCTAAATTCAACCAAGGCTCAGGCCTCAGCGCTATAGTTTGTCCCTTGAAATTGCTCCTATAGTTATGTTGGGGATATAGAGGACTTTTTTTGTTTGAGATTCTTAACAGCTTAAGTTTAATTCTTAATCTCTTGCCCTTTTTCCCTCATACAAAATCAACTCTCAACCACCGGAACCCGAGTGTACGGCGCCATCATTGCAGTGACAAGATACACTCAGATTGAAACTTCTAGCACAGCAGTTTCAGATCCTCTTTCCACTTTAAAAGTAGATAAAAGTAGAGCATAATGGTAAAACCGGAAAAAACAATTGCGGTGAAATGCCCATATTTGTTGCATGGAATAACAGAGTCGCATTGAATTGTTTTTTTTTTAGGGTGTTTTCACAGCCGGATGTTTCTCTGAAATTACTTCACCAAATAGTTTCCTGGTGACCTAGATGAGTGTTCACAATGGGTGTTATAAAGAGGTCAAACAACAATACAATATGCACTGCACAACACAAACCTTTTCATGTGATTGTCTTTTTAACATAACTAATGAAACTCTAGTGTGAGCATTACATTGCCTGAATCACAAATTAAAAAGGTGTAAAATACCCAAAACAGTAAATAAAAAGATCACCTTTTCTCTATAGAGTCAATGTTTGAGTGAAGCAGCCACAGCTCTTCTGTGTTGTCCTGTCTGGAGGAGAGAATCAGGTGATGGCCAGTCAAACACAGAGTTCCCTCCACAGTGGGCATAAAAGGCCGATGTAAGACCACCCCGTCCACCCTGGGGGTCTTAATCAGCTCTGCAAACTCCATGATCTGACCTGAAGAAACGACAGCAGACACAGCAGAAACAAGATGATGGTTTTCAAAGCATACTGACAACGCTGCTTATTAGTTAACGTCACTACTGCTGAGACAAGCTAGCGTTAGCCCTGCTGTGCTGCTTCTAAATAAACACATCATGTAAGTCAATTAACATTAACATTACATGATTTAATGCGGCAATAACATGTCAGCTAGCTCAAGTTAGCTAGACTCAGGAAATGAAGTGGCTAACCTTAGTTAGCTAGCTAGCCGTGTCACACCGTATACATCGTCCGACATGTTTATATTCACGTCGAAATTATAACATTACACACACTGTAAGTGTTCGTTTAAGATAAAATTATTAATCGTACAATTACCTGAATCTCTTTCGTTATATTTGTGAATGGGCGAGACTGGTACGTTCACATAAACAAGCCGACAGGAAACAACTGACTTGTGACACTCAGGATAATCTGCATACAGTAGCAGATCCCCATATTATTCTTTATAAAATAATAATAATACTTTGTGCATCCCAGTCACTTTGGATATCAACGGTACTGTTAAATACGCGTTTATAAACCCAATTCTGGACTAAATGGGACCTAAAATATATATGCAATAAAATCAAAATGTCAATGTATGTAGGTATGTAACATGTAGGTTATACTCAATTCATCCTGGTAGTCGAATCTAAATTGCCCATAGAATTTGAAGTTAAAGAGTTGAGTATTTGTCATTAAATAATCTCGTAGATTAGTAAATAGCTGTACTTAGTTACTCTGTTTAGGGAAATATAGATATTTATGTAATGGAATTATTTGAAGAACAACATATTTCCTCCATGGCACTAAAGTCTCAAGTTATGTTGTTTATATGAAGCTGCTTTTACATTTTAGGCTCATCCATGTTTTCCTCCCCAGCTGTTGGAAACCCCTAGCAATATTAAAAAAGGACACAAGGTGGTGACATTGAACAATCTTGAGAGATTCATAGTGTTAAAGGACTTATCTGAATGTCCCCATAATTCAATAACACCAGGATGTCTGAAAGGTGGGGTTCATCTGTATGAGAAATACCCCCCAGATACAAAAGCAGAATCTTCAGGCAAACTGAATGATTTAAAAGCTCTTGGTTGGTCAGACAGGCCGCCTGCATGATGACAGTGACCTATCGATAACTATTGGGAAGCAGCAAACCTGGCAGTCCAAATTTAATTAAATCAGGTTCATAAAAGGATTGAGCACTGGTAGGCAAACATATCATGGCCACAGAAAAAAATGAATAACAACAAATGACCAATTACAGTATTTTTACAATGTTACTAGACCTATAAGCAATTGCAAAGCAGCATGGAGAAGGTATAACATCTGAACGGGAGATTACAAAGACTTAAGCCTCCTTGCATGGCTTGGGAAACGGCATTAAATGTCAGATAAAAAATTGTATTAACTGTAAATCTAATGTTAAGATATCTGTTAAATCAGTCCAATGATACAAGACCATTTTCAGCTCTTTACAAAGCAGTTCCAGGTAGAAAGGTGGTGTAGGGGTTAAAGCAAACCCTTGGTGGATATAGCAGAGTATACAGCTTGGTGAAGATGAGGGTGTGGTACCCTGAAAAAAGGACTTACCCTGTCATTTCTGTATTAATCTAAAGTCAAATAGAAAGCTACGCCCACTCCTAAAAAGATTGAGTTTGAGTCTATTTGAAGATCATAGGAGAGCCGGCTTCCCTAATAGCAGCTGGGAGTTTATTTGTGAGAAAAAAGTTTTTGCCTGAGGATTTTGTCTGTAGTTCTTAGTAGAGTGAGGAGGCCTGGATGCTGAGATCTTAACGCTCACACAACCCTTGGATGGGAGACTCCCTGAAGGGGGTAGCACTTTTGGAGGGAGAAGAAGAAAAAGAGCAGATGGCTTGGGTTTGTTTCAGACACATCTTTGTGTGTGTGTGTGTGTGTGTGTGTGTGTGTGTGTGTGTGTGTGTGTGTGTGTGTGTGTGTGTGTGTGTGTGTGTGTGTGTGTGTGTGTGTGTGTGTGTGTGTGTGTGTGTGTGTGTGTGTGTGTGTGTGTGTGTGTGTGTGTGTGTGTGTGTGTTGCATTGCAAAGCAGTATTTGCTTCAGCCTGTCTGCGCTTCACAATAGATGGTTCGCTCTGGGCTTTCCCAGCCCACATCATGTACAGACGCCTGAGCTCAATTGAAAATGAAACCCGACGTTGCTTTACAAACCAAATAACTGCCCTTCCTCTGAGGAAAAGTTGCTTCGCTGTGGCTTTTTAAAAAAGGAAGACGCGCTGATAAAAAGAAAATGCTTTCATAGCAAATATTCACTTCACAGCCTTACGCAGGATACAATAGAGTAACCCAACCTCTATGTTTTATTTAACAGGGTGCTAAAACAAATATGTCTGTGCAGGAGGAGATGATTTACTTATAAAGGCTTCAGTGATAAAATGTTAACTTTCATGTCAGCAGATGAATGTTTAGAGAGATAACACTTCACAGCTCTCACTGCCTTGGAGGAATTCAAGGAAAATATTAATAATCTTGTCCAACATGAATCTACATGTTCCATTCAAAGTATATTCATAGATCTGGTGGAGTAACTACAACATGTCACACTGATCATGATGTTATCTCTGAGTTTCCAAATTTGAATGCTCGCTTACATCACACAGATCAGATTTTGACATATTTGACGAGCATTTAGGAACATCATCCAGCACATTTGAAGGATTGACAGCTTGAGCCCACACACCGAAACCATTACTCACCCATGCTTTTCATCCTGTTTCTTATAGAGACAATGTCTCATTCAACCTTCTGTTGTGGATGGTTTGCTTAATGTTCATTCTCTTACATAGTGCGATGTTATTTCGGGCATGTCCAGTGAATCAGAGAAGTCTGTCATCGCGGAAGATGACATAAATGTGGGTTTGGAGTCTAATTCCAAAATGTGTTGCGTAGGCTCTCTGAGAAACGTCCTTTATTTCTTTAATTAAAGCTCCATCAAGTGTTCACAAATGGTATTATGTATCTTCCAAGCCTTCCAAATAGTACATTTATTTTTGGTTCAGATTTGTATTTGAATAGAGCTGTATTGGCTATGGTACTGATTGTACTTGTTATGGTTTACAGTATATTTAAATTACAGCTTGGCTAGGTTTGTTCAGCGTTGTTTGTGTCACAGAAAGAGTTTTTTATTGAGACATTTACAGCTACTGTTAACACTTCTCAAAAATACTGTGAAAAAGCTCCTAATAGATTTATCACTTATTTTTCCCTCATTAATATGAAGCACATGTAGCGCCTTCCACAGACGTGCTGCTGTAAACCTTATGTAAGCATGACAGCTGTTTTTCAATTTTCATTTGTTTTTTCTTATTTTAAACACAGGCAATATCATGATCCAAGGTTTGTTTTTTTAAAAGGATCAATGAATCAATTGTATTTCATTAGCCCACAAATGATGTATTTAATATCATCTTCCTCATTTTAGCCTCTTAGTTTTTTTTTTACTCCTGCCTCATCTAATGTGTGCTTCTGCATTTGCCCTGCTAATGTTTGTTTGTGGCCCTCTAAGGCGGTTTGTGACAACTTGCTTAAAAAGTGCTTTATAATTTGAGTTGATGTCAACTGATTTGATTTTCTTTCATCGCTGCGAGGCCTTTGCTGCATTTAACAGCCAACCATCTCCTGTGGATATTAGATCTAAGTGTGCTGCACAGAAGGCATTGAGGAGGCCTAACTGATGTGAAAAATTATCTTGCGTGCATTAGATCATATTTTAGGATTGTTTTCCTCCAGTATCTTCCCGGGAGGAACAGCCATACCCTTATTATTGTCATGCTGCTCACAGTGACTTTTGATACATTTATGAAACAAAGCTCTTTCCTCTTCCACTGCTTACCACCCTTGATAGAAATGAAAGTAAGAGATGTGACATAGCATGTTTGTAGATGTTGGTAATTTCTGCAGGAAATCGGTAATCATTTTAATAGAAAAACTAGATTCAGTGTAGCTCCAAACGAGTGTTTTAAAGGTATTGTAATGCTGCCTTTAACAAGAAAACATATGGGTGATTTGATGTGAAAACCAGAGAACTGGTCCAATGAACCCAATGAGAAATAATTAAGTGACTTAATGTAGCTCTGGGCTCCTCCTCACTGGTCCAATAGCATTTCTTACCCTGGCAGTTCACACCAAGAGAGAGAAGCCTGCAGCTAGTCACTTTACCTCTCTGTAATGTGTTGACATTTCGCTCCAATGTGATATGTCATTACTCACAAGACCAGCAGAGGTGAACATGTTGATAATGTTAGGAACTCAAAAAAAGATTGTGGTTTATTATTCTTCTCTTGGATGTTTGAGCTTCACTGAATGATGGGTTGGCACATTCAACTGCGGATTTATATTTCAAAAAAATATTTGCATATTTATAGATTTTATAGAGCATTGGGGGAGTGAGGGAAGAGGAGTTGGTGTCATTTTTGTTACAAATGAAATCATACTTTTTGCAGTAAAAAATACACACACGTCTTTCTGTATAACATATTTTGTTAAATAATTTTTAGATTAATACAAACAGGAACACTTTGTAGAAAAGTAAAGTACAATAAATAGCTATAAACATATAATCAATTGAAATGCATACAAATCTAATTCTTAATCCAGGCATTTTGTTGGTTTATGGTGGCATGATGTAGTTACTGTAGTATACTTGATTAAAGACATTTTAGTTACAGTCTTCACATACGTTTGGATTGGAATTCATGTGAGTGACCAAATGAATCCGACTCAAGTTAACAATATTATCACAATAAACCTGACAGTTAAGGTTGTGGGTTGGGGTGTTTCTGGTCAACTTTAATTGTATAAAACAAACGTGTCAGTCACTCTGATTATGATTAAGAAATGATCCTGTGCTTTTTAACTGTTCTTTTAACACTGTTTTAATCTTTCCATTGTCTTGGGTTCAGCACTGCTTCAGCGCCGGACAGCTCACATCAAATCCTGCATCTGAGTAGGAGAGCAGAGCAGTGGGGGGGGGGGCGGACATGATCCAATCACTCTCACACTGGATGTGACCCTGCATGGCAGCTCAGTGGGCTCCGTCTAATCACTGTGTTGTTGAGCCTGCAGTGGACTTACTTTACTTTGAAATGCAACCCGAGGGGAAAATGTCCCTTACAGCACATCCTTAAAGCCTGCTGAAAAGATGCTGCGGAAAAAGAGGGAAAACCCAACATGTCTCTATAGCAACCATTGATGGATTCACCTATAGATCAATTTTTTACCCAGAGGACTTGTGGAAGCTTCCTATAGCTTTAGTGTCATGCCATTAAAGTTACTTTGAACTAGGGCTGGCTGATATGAAGAAAGCCATATCACAATATTGTCCACCACCTTTTTTCAACACCTATATTTGATTCTTGATATTCTAGGGTTGACTATAGATGCTTTTACAGAAAATATACATATATATATCATGTATTGCAGAGATCTACTTCCAACATTCACTTTGATAGTTCATTTGATTCAGATTGTTAAAAGGTAATTTATGTTTTCACAACTACTGACAATACAATTACTAAAAAGCACAGTAAGGTAATTATAAACCCTTTATAGAGCATTAAACTCAGGGTGGAATGCTTTTTCTCTTTTCAGTAGCACAGCTTTATGCTTTTGTTCCACCTTCTACAAAAAGTGTCCCCACAGTGTGTCACTGTGGCTGATTGAAATGCTCAAACAACAGGAAAGACTCCCTTTGGTGGAGATGAGGCATGTTGCATTACATCATGCAGTCTCTCCTGCATATTTTGGGGGGCTTCAAACGAGACACTAGATGGCAACCATGGTGAGAGGGAGAAAGTGAGAGAGGAGGGAGACAGAGTGAGGGAGGAGGGGGGAAGTGGGGGGGATGAATAACGTCGGGGTGGGACAGTGGAGGGACGGTCTGTTCATGGCACTCGGCTTGCAGCTGGAGGAGAGCTGCAGAGAGGGAAAAGACTGCGCAGTGGGAAATTAGATTAATGCACAGGTACACAATTGGACGACCCCAGACGGATAAACGAGTTCCAAAATAAATAGTTTGAACTTTTAGATTGGATTATTGCCAAAAGTAGGGAATAGATCTGCAGTAGAGGGGGAGAGGAAGACAAGATGTGCTGCGTCCGTGGCGCCACTGGTGCGCTATCCGGGGACGGCGACGCACAGACACCCCGCGTTTAGATGGCTCCAACATTTGGGGTGCAAAACAGGTGTCAGGGAAGTGTCGTCACGAACCCCGGAAGCCGGAGGAGGTGGGAACATCAGAGGGAAAGATGGCAGCGAAATCCGATGGTCGCGGGGTCGTCACCGGTTTCGCCCAGCTGCACAACCTGGACGAGGTGGTGGGGACGGGAGAGGACGACAATCGGAACAGCAGCTCTTTCCATATCTGCCACTGCTGCCACACCTCGTCGTGCTACTGGGGCTGCCGGAGCGCCTGCCTGCATTACCTCCGGGGAAAGGGGAAGGGGAAGGGGAGAGATTCGGCGCGGCCACCGCAGGAGGAGCGCCTCTGGCTGGACTGCCTGTGGATCATCCTGGCGCTGCTGGTCTTTTTCTGGGACGTGGGGACCGATTTGTGGCTGGCCATCGACTATTACCACAAGCAGGAGTTCCTGTGGTCAGGCCTGACCCTGTTCTTCGTGCTGGTGCCCTCGGTCCTGGTCCAGATCCTGAGCTTCAGGTGGTTTGTGCAGGATTACACTGGAGGAGGACTGGGCTCAGTGGAGGGGCTGAGTAACCGGAGAGTTTCAAGTCTGCAAAGAGACAGGTGTTGCCTCCTCTCTGTCTGGGTCTGGCAGACCGTCATACACATCTTTCAGTTGGGACAAGTGTGGAGGTAAGACAAACTTCAAGTTTTGGTTCACCTAAAAACGTCCAAAGCACAATGTTCCCAGCTCCTCTCACTCTATCCTTTCTCTCAGCCTTCTAACCTCCTCCTGACTGTCACCTGGTATAACCCGCTGCTGTGTACCTGACAGGGGTGAAAAGCAGCACCGTGGTGATGCCATTACGCTCGCCTCTCCACTGTGTGTTGTCAAACATGCATGCGTTTAAAATACAAAATCTACACGCTTTGCAACAATTCCCATGCCCCTCATCCAAATGTGTCCAGACCAAACTGCTACAGCTGCACAGATTTAGCACCGCTGTGATTGTTTCATCACAGTGCGCCATTGCGCTTGTGTGGGAGGGAAGAGGGCTATTTGTTCAAAGACAGACAGGTAGTAGCCGACAGCTTGTGTGTGTGTGTGTGTGTGTGTGTGTGTGTGTGTGTGTGTGTGTGTGTGTGTGTGTGTGGTGTGTGTGTGTGTGTGTGTGTGTGTGTGTGTGTGTGTGTGTGTGTGTGTGTGTGTGTGTGTGTGTGTGTGTGAGTGTCTGAGTGTGCGTCAGGCGCGCCGTTCACATCGCAGTGCACACGGTTGCCTCATTTCACCCCCTCTCCCTCCCCGCGTCAAATACTCCAACTCTGCAACTAGAGGCCAGACGAGCATCTGTTTTCACAGCTCACAAAACTACATCTTCCCCCCACAGACATGATGTCATCGACTCCTCGGCGACGCTCGACATCTATAGTCCCCAAATCCGCTTTTTGACCATACACATTGATGCGTCTGGGGACCGAGGGGATACTCATGGTGTACGTGTCTGCGCGTAATCTGTGGCATGTAGAGGCTACAGCCTACTAGTGAAATGTGACAGTGGTGTGCGCAGCTCTTCTACTCCATTTGGGCTGCTCAGTGGAAGCTGCGAGTTGTTTTTGGTGCAGACAGACGCAGTGGCTGGCATTTAATGGAAAAAAAGTAACGCATGATGGCTGCTCTGAGAGGACAGCCAAAGGCTTAACAAATGTAAAACAGCACACAGTAAGACTCATAGGAAGGGGTCACATCATTCCATCTGGACTTTTAGCTTTTCAGTCGACGTTTATAGTGTATTGTAGTGTTTTTTTGTGCAACAGACTGACCACTGATTCTGTTGTTTGTGTTAGGTAGCTGCCTCTGCTCTTCATCAGGCGAATGGCTTGTGTATGCCATGATTGTGTTTAAGTATAATGCACAAGAACATGTGTGCCCCAGGCTAAATTACTCACATGCATAAACTGGGAGTAAAATCCGAACTGAAATTACCTTTTAAAACTAAAAGAAATGCCACAAGCCTAAATGGAATACCTTATCCAGTTTTACATATCCACTCTCACAATTTAGTCTAAAAATAAACCTAATATCCTTTTGGCTGAAAAGAACATCTCCACTCTTATGTTCCGGTTTAATTTAGTGGATGACCGTGCATCCCCTGTCAAGATGGGTTTTCCCAGAATGAGACTACTCTGCATTCCTCATCAGACTCATTTTAATCTGCACCTGAAGGCTATTATATTGATTTCCCTGCAGTTGTATTGGCTCAAGTTTATTTACTCCAGTGTGGTTCAATTGATTACTCTGCTCATATCTGTAGTGGTAAGAAGATATGGGGCGTGCTGGGTACTGTTGCACATGTCAAAGTAATGTGTTGTGTTGGTGGTTACGGTGGTTGGTGAAAGTAAAGTGAGAGCATCTCAAGATGTCTAACCTCTCTCGAACACAGATAGTTCAAACATTTTTGGTAAATATTTGCTTTCTGGCAGAGGCATTCAAAGATTGCCTCTCTCATGTCGAAAGTAAAAGTGAATCTATAGCAACAAGAAGGATAGCTATAGCTTACCATAAAGACTGGACACACCAGAAAACAGCTAGCCTAGTTCTGTCCAAAGCTAACAAAATAAATCTAATAGCCTTTCGAGATGCTCACTAACGAACACGCTTTATTTGGTTTGATTAAATCTGTACAATGGCATTGCTTTTTTCTAATTCAACAATTAAATAACATTTTAATCATTGAGTCCTGGAGGTGCTGTTTATAGGAGAATAGTGACCTTTGTACAGAGAAGCTGTTTCCAACGTAATGCTAACATTGCTAAGTTAAGCCAGCTGCTAGCTGAAGCTATACATAGAAAGCTGTTAACCACATTTCTCAAAGTGTCAAACTATTCCTTTATGAAGGTTGAAAAAAAAACCGACTTTGTTGTGTCTTAGGTATTTCTGTGTTAACATTACACTTGATCAAAAAAGCTGGCTTTAAGCAATAGACATTTTTTGTGGCATGAAAATGTATTTGTAATGGACATGAATGCTATTCCATTGGTGTGAGCATTGAATCGGTTCTCCCTTGCCTTTTGTGGTTTGAAATATTTGTTTGATGTTGTTAAATTACAAACTTTTGTGTAGTGGGACACAAGTAAATGTTTTCCAGGATATTAGAACCATGCAAACCACAGTACAGCAGTTGGACTAGCTTCAGATTTACAGCTATACAGTAGTACATCTTGACATAAGATAGCGGCATAGAAACCTGCTCATGAGGAACTCTAAGGAAAGATAATGTGTTGGTGTGTATGTTGTGACAGCACCAAGCTTTGGGCGCGGGATCTTTGTCAGGCCACTGTCTCCCCTCGGACATCCTCTGCCTGGATGCTGGTTTGGGGTCGAAGGTCAAAAGCTGCTCTTGTCAGCTTAGTGAGAGTTCACAACCTACAACACTTGATATGGAGATTGTTAGTCACTGTGAGAGTCCAGAATAACAATAGGCAGCATCTGCTATCAACTTACATTGTATTAATTGGTATGAATATATTTATTCAACAGTACGTTTTAGTTCCAGTATATGGTGCAATTCACTATCTGAATCTCTCATATTTTTTCATCATGCGGGGAATGACAGGATTTCAAAGGAACTGCCAGTCCTCAGCATTCTTAACAAGATGCCACAGTATCTGTTTTTGAAATGTTTTGCCATCATTAATATAAGAAAACAAGATGAAGTGCTGACAGGAGTCCAAAACACTGCCTCATTACTCAAGCCTATTTTCATTTCTTCATTCAATTTGCTGCCTTCCCTCTGTGCACCTGAGGACCGAGCCGATGACAGGACCGCAGAGCTTGTTTTGCAGTTATTTTCTTGTTAATTGCTGACAGAACGGGGAGGATCCCTCTCTCGTCTGTAATCCCGTTCTGTCTCTGTCTCTCCACACCTCTGTCCTGTCATCCTCTCAGACAGTGTCCTCTTAAGCTTTACAGATTCCACTCACATATGCTCAGGCACACAGTGGATCACACATACAAAGAGGCGACACGATGGACAGCTTAATCAGTGCAAACCCAAATTAGCATCTGACTTAAAAAACAAATGCATCCGTCTTGGCTCCCCAAGGAAGTCCTTGTAGAAAGTTTTGGAAGCTCTTTGTTGTTAGGAAATCCCAGCAGAATTGGGTTGGGTGTTGTCTTCTGTAATAATTATTGTAGCATATTTCTGGCATTCTTTTGTTCAGTGGCTTCTGAGAATCGACATCTATTCAGTAGACTTTATATTTCTCTGTATTATTAAAAAATATACTGACAACGTCCTGCATTTAAAAAAACAGAACAGTAACCAAATACTTGAATGTGGTTAAACTACCACAGAATTAAAGAGGCACTCACTCATGAACTCCATCACACTTATCACAGTGAGTAGTACATCTGGAAACAGCTGTGTAATTTTCTCTGTTGCTCTGTAGGAGTTTAAAAGACAAAGCTGGTGATGACATTGGCTTGAGCTTGAGAAGTGGGGTATTAATGAAGGCTGTATTAAAAATGTATTATAGGAATGCATTGTGGGAAATGTAGGATCCAGTTTTTTTGGAGATTTAAGTCGGGATCAAGTTGGCCTGTGCTCGTGTTTTGGTATTTCAATTGTTTGTTGAAAGTCCCTCAACTTTATGCAAGTGCAATATGCAATAAGTGCAGTTATTCTGACCATACATCGTTTGCGTAAAACATCCCTATCTATTATTCTATTGAAACCTTTTCTTTTCAGCCTGGGCATCAATAACCATTTTAATGTCTTTTGATTAGATGTCAGTGAGGACAGTAGTTTGCAGGGGTCTTTGTAAAGTGGTCATTTTTGGATTACCCAGTTTATGTTTGTTTAAAAACTCAACAGATGCAATACGTTGAACAAGACTCGGGAGCTGTCTGATGCTGACATTCTGGCTTTATTGCATTTCATTGGCATTTTCGACAACATGCAGCCTCATACCAGCCTAATGAAACACACAGGTTGTGTACATGAGAGTTTGTATTGATTAACTCTGACTCATTGGGTGTCATAGGCCTGAGGCAAGCACATCACTGTTGTGCACAGCACCAGAGCCACAATGAAATCTGATAGATGTGGGTCTTGTTTTGATATTTTGAAATAAGATATAAGGCTTAATATTATGTTCAGTGCACACTTGGTTGTTTATTGTATATTGAAGGGGTGGAATCAACTTATATTATTGTTTGGTTATAGTGTATTTTTGGTTTGAGTTAAATTAAATCCAAAAAAAAATTAAGTTAAATCATTTGAGTAAAGTTGTCAATTATAATGAATAGAGCTGGCAGTGGGTTTCTGGAGTTACTGAAAATGTGTTTGTTAATTACTGTTGTTTTTCACAATGCTGGCTTCTGTCAAGGAGACAGTGTGTGGGTTGTGTTATTGTTCGATTTAATATATTCCACTTAAGTGCCAAGAAGCAATGCACTTCAGTCTATTAAATTGCTAATCTTCCATATGTGCAGGGGTTAAATGACACCACAGTGATAGTATTTCTGGTGAATACCTTCTTCTTATTATAACATGACTGAAACTGTAAATCCATCTTGGCTCTTGACGAATTCTCCAGTTCTGCAGCAGCCAAAGAAATGGGGACTCCCCCCCCCCCCCCCCCCTCTTGCAATTGTACGAAATGTTTGACACCACAAATCTGATGCTTGGATT